CCGGCCTGGGCGACAAAATGAGACCCTGTCTCAAAAAAAAAAAAAAAAAAAAAAAAAGAATGCTTGCCAAGTCCTTTGAAAATATCTGGAGTGTGTACCTACAAGAACTGAATTTGGCTAAAATAGTGATTCTCAAAGTCTGGTGCCCAAGCCAGCTAGCTGCAGTGACATCACTGGAGAATCCCTAAGAAATGCAAATTATTTGCAAACTCAGAGTGGACACCCCGAAGCTCCTTACGCATGATAACTCACCCTCCGAGCTGTCTCGTTCTAATTCCACTGTCAGTCCCGAGGCTGTAAGGAAAGAGAAACATGATACAGAGCAACAGGTTGGTCTCTACTCCCTTCCACGCTAACAACAGGGGACACCACACGGGGCTAAAGTCACCCTATTCATCTCACTCATTTATGCTTGTCCTCCCCTCCAGACTCAGGCCTGCTGCCATACAGAATGGAATCATACAGATCCCATCACAGAACCTGATGAGAGAGATCAACTCTCGCTACCAGCATTCAGTTCTGTGCTCGGGCAGTCTCAAGAAACAAACAGTTGCAGAAATGCAAAACTTACAAGGTTTCTTGGCTTTCTTTTCCTCTTCTGCAAAAGAAAGTTTTCAGAATTAAGATCTTTTAAGGCACAACACAATGACATTTTCAAAATAATAACATGCATGTGCTTGAATCTGACCCAGTCAAATAAAAGGATGTTTTCACTTGAAAAATAGGAGTCAGAAGGTAAAATGAATCTATAGTGATAGAAACCAGCATCAGCGGACATGGCAGGCAGGGACTGATGAATAAGGAGCAGGAAGGAATTTTCTAGAGTAAGGGAAATTATCTTGATTTGGATAATGGTGAAGTACTGAAATTCGAGATTAAATTAACACCAAGACAAAAGTATGCCAAATTGCAGGGTCTTTATTATTGCCGGCAACCACAGAGGACTCACGTCTCTCCAACCTGTGGCGTCGAACTCAGGGAGAGCAGGGTTTTTAAGCTGAAAAACCACATCCTGGTTTTAGGACCCAGAGGGTGAGGAGCAGGGATGGGGATGAAGGGCTTCAGACATTCCGAGGGCTGGTGGATTCTGTAAATCACCT